AAAGAACACTCAGTCAGAAATTATAAAAAATGAAACCTTAGAAGGGAGTGTGGAATCATGTGTATACCATAAATGTAGAAACCGTATACAGACCTTCATTTGGAAGTAATGAGACTTAAGATTAAGCAAGGGTCAGACATGAAACAAGTCCTGTATCTCAAGGATGTCCTGGTTTCCTATTTATTTCCCAGGTGTCCTAATTGATAAAAGGTATTTGTGAGTCTGCTCGAAAGCAAATGGAAGTCATTTGTATGCATACTTTTGGTGTGGTAATAGGCTCTAAACTACAGTTGATAAAGGCTTGTCATACTTTGCCAAACATGTTTTTATACGACCGCAAAAATTAAAAAATTTTTGGTCGTATATTGGTATGACGTTGGCGTCGTCGTCGTCGTCGTCGTCGTCCGAAGACACATTGGTTTTCGCACTCTAACTTTAGTTTAAGTGAATGGATCTCTATGAAATTTTACCATAAGGTTCAATACCACAAAAGGAAGGTGGGGATTGATTTTGGGGGTTATGGTACCAACAGTTAAGGAATTAGGGGCCAAAAAGGGGCCAAAAATAAGCATTTTTGTAACTTCCAGACATAACTTGTGTGTTAGTGTATGGATCTCTCTGACATTGTACCACAAGGTTCCATATCACAAAGGGAATGCTGGGATTGATTTTGGGGGTAATTGCCTCAAAATTTTAGGAATTAGGGGCCAAAAAAGGGGCAAAAAACAAGCATTTTTCTAGTTTTATGATAATAACTTGTGTGTAAGTGTATGGATCTTTCTGAAATTGAACTACAAGGTTCCATATCACAAAGGGAAAGCTGGAATTGAGTTTGGGGGTAATTGCCCAAAACGTTTAGGAATAAGGGGCCAAAAAGGGGCCAAAAATAGCATTTTTCTAGTTTCCAGACAATTATTTGTGTTCAAGTGTATGGATCTCTCTGAAATTGTACTGCAAGGTACCATACCACAAAGGGAAGGCTGGGATTGATTTTGGGGGTAATTGCCTCAAAATTTTAGGAATTAGGGGCCAAAAAGGGGAAAAAAACAAGCATTTTTCTAGTTTCAGGACAATAACTTGTGTTCAAGTGTATGGATCTCTCTGAAATTGTACTGCAAGGTACCATACCACAAAGGGAAGGCTGGGATTGAGTTTGGGGGTGATGAATCATAAGGGGTTTCAAAAAATTTGGGGGGGGATTTTTTTTTTTCCTTTTTTTTTCTTTTAAAATTTTCCATTTTAAGTTGGTTATTTCTGATTTATATTTAAAAGCAAATAATAATGATATTGTAGGAGATACACACCAAACAGGATGTGTAAATTATTATATAATAAGTATTGTGCAATAGCAAGAAATTTTCAATTGCACAGTATTGCACAATAGCAAGAAATCTTCCATTGCACAGTATTGCGCAATAGCAAGAAATCTTCAATTGCACAGTATTGCGCAATAGCAAGAAATATCCAATAGCACAATATTGCCCAATAGCAAGAAATTGTCAATTGTACAGTATTGCGCAATAGCAAGAAATATTCAATTGCACAGTATTGTGCAAAAGAAGATACTTCGTATAAATTGCTTATTTCTTGACCAATTTCAATAAGGTTTTATTCTTGAATTCTTGGGGTTCTTTAATATGCTGAATCTAACCGTGTATTAAGTTTTTGGATTTGGGGCCCCGTTTTTAAATTGGTCCACATTGAGGTCCAAAGGGTCCAAAATAAAACTTTGTTTGATTTCATCAAAAATTGAATTATTGGGGTTCTTTGATATGCCAAATCTAACCGTGTATTTAGATTCTTAATTTTTAGTTCCGTTTTCAAATTGGTCTACATTAAGGTCCAAAGGGTCCAAAATTAAACTTAGTTTGATTTTAACAAAAATTGAATTCTTAGGGTTCTTTGATATGCTGAATCTAAACATGTATTTAGTTTTTTGATTATGGGCCCAGTTTTCAAGTTGGTCCAAATCGGGGTCCAAAATTAAACTTTGTTTGATTTCAACAAAAATTGAATATATGGGGTTCTTTGATATGCTGAATCTAACCATGTATTTAGATTCTTAATTTTTGGTTCCGTTTTCAAATTGGTCTACATTAAGGTCCAAAGGGTCCAAAATTAAACTTAGTTTGATTTTAACAAAAATTGAATTCTTAGGGTTCTTTGATATGCTGAATCTAAACATGTATTTAGATTTTTGATTATGGGCCCAGTTTTCAAGTTGGTCCAAATCGGGGTCCAAAATTAAACTTTGTTTGATTTCAACAAAAATTGAATATATGGGGTTCTTTGATATGCTGAATCTAACCATGTTTTTAGATTTTTGATTTTTGGGCCCCATTATCAACTTTGTCAAAATTGAGGTCAAAAGGGTCCTAAATTAAACTTTGTTTGATTTCATAAAAAATTGAATTCTTGGGGTTCTTTGATATGCTGAATCTAACCATGTATTTAGATTTTGGATATTGGACCATAATAGGTGAATGTCCAATTTAAAATTTTTAAGTTCTTAGACCACATTCATTCTGTGTCAGAAACCTATGCTGTGTCAAATATTTAATCACAATCCAAATTCAGAGCTGTATCAAGCTTGAATGTTGTGTCCATACTTGCCCCAACTGTTCAGGGTTCGACCTCTGCGGTCGTATCAAGCTGCGCCCTGCGGAGCATTTTATTATCATTTAATTTTAAAATATATTACTGCCCTTGTTTTTAAGTTGCAGGTTGTGCTAATGTCAATATTTTGAAAGGATTTTTTTTTTGTGGGGGGGGGGGGGGGACAATGGTTTGTAAAAAAAAAATTATAAATATAAATAGGTTAATACAGTCAATTTTTAACATTGTAAAATAAAATTATACAGATCACGTCTCCCTTTCAAATCCTGTTCTAATAATTAATGAAAAACTCTTATGTTTGTATGAAAATTTGCCAGAAGATAAAAGACATGTTTAAAATTATCAGAATGAATATAAATTCCACTTTGAGTTTGAAATCTAAACTGAACGTTTTAGCAGAGACCTGATCCATCTTTAAGAGGTTGCCTCCATGTACATAAGATTTTCTGCTAAATAAGCCTCTTGGAGTCTAACCTATTTCAACTATTTTGAGAAAAACAAGTGTTTTTTCAGATTTCCTTTACAATCTGCAAGATTTCTATGGGTACAATAATTTGACATTCCAGACTGTTTATAAACAGTAATTTATAGAGTATATACTGTGAGTTTATAAGTTTGATCTTTTTATAGCAAGTAAAAGTCATTGAATAAAAACATTAAGCTAGAGAAGAACAATCTGTTTCATAGATAAAATCATGTATTAAATCTTATATCATCTCATCTTTATTTTCTTCTTAACAGTATCAGAAAATAATAACAATTTGTTCAGTCATTAATAGCTTTTTGTAAAGATTATGATGTTTAATTTTATAAGTCTGCACTAAATTTTACTTATTTGAAGGAACTTCATCTGCTTTTTGCTGGGTTTTTTTAAAACTGCATTTTCGTTTTTAATGTTTTTCATCTAAAAACAAATTAATTACCAATTGAGGCTATGACTACACCATGTGATGTATGTTGCTGTGTGTGTTTTTTGTATTGCTATTTTTCAAATGAGTCTGATAATTGTGGTTGGTGTGGTCTGACTGTAGAAAGGATCACAATTCTGATCTGGAAGAATTTTACTTTTAAATATTTCTCTTTTTAAGACTTATTGACCTGGTTTAAGCTATCTATCTGCTGCTTGTATGTCATACATACCTATCTCCATCACATGGTTAGATTTAAAAGGCATTTTTGAAGAGTCCTCCATTTTAATACCCTTGCTTTCTGCAACCCTTAGGAAGGTGGCTTGGTGCAGAACAGAATTTGTGTTCCTACCAAGCATGCTAAGGAATTATCCTCCAAAATCTCAATTGTAGAAACAAGAATATACATTTCAGTTGCTTATTAGAATAAAAAAGTATGTTATTTGGTACCCTGAACAAAATTTAGTTCTAATTACATGTAGGTACCTAAGTGCAGTGTAATACCACAAACAAAATTAAAAAAAAAACTAAAGTGTGCTGTAGTACCTTTAGATAGAATTAACAAAAATAAATACCATAGAAATGAAAAAAAAACAGTGTGCCCTTTTCTCCTTAGATTAAACAGAAAAAAAGTGCTGTTGATGCCCTCAAATGAAAAGTTCTTTAATAGTTGTACATAGTAATATCTCCAGTTTCTAATTGTAGAAGATGTTGAAGCTTAGATTTCTATAACAATAACAACAGACTAATGATAACAAAATTTGTTTATTAGTACCAGTTATTTTCTTTTGTAATATTCATAATTCCAAAGTACATTGAAGTAATTGTTATCAGCCTTGATGTTCAGTCAAATGTGTACCTATATATTATCTCCCTTTGTTCTGGGGGAAGGAAACAGATGTTTAAGTTTTTGGTTTTGTCATCACTGTAACCCATAAATATGATTTATAGGGGAAGATGATAGCTTCAAAGGAAATTATAAATACAATGACTTTATCTATGGACTAATGTACTGTAATAGTACATTTACTGAGCAACCTAACAATAGTACAAGTTCTTCTTCTTTAGAGCTTGTAGCCTACTAGTCTAAGGAATTACAGTACATGTTCTTCAGAGCTTGGAGCCCATGTATCTGAGCAATGATCATACAGGTTCATTAGAACTTGGAACCTACTTATCTGTAAAGAATTATAGTACAAGTTCTTCTGAACTTGGAGCCTAATAGACTGTAAGGAATTACAGTACATGTTCTCCAGAGCATTGAGCTTGCATATGAACAGGTTCTCAAGAGCTTTGAGCTTGAATAAGGAGCAATTTATGAGTATATTATAGTATAATATAGTAAAATGAAGAATTTATAAACCATCCCAGCATAGTAAACAGTTTTTGTAGGTTGTTTGTTGGTAGTTTAGCAATATCTGTTGATATGATAAATTTAGCATTTTCACTGTAAAGTCACATGCATCAATTTTTCAGTATTATCAGTACAGTCATTCTATGAACAACCTCGCAGTCACAATGCTACAGTGAATAGTACAGTAATATTTAAATGTGTGATACAGAACAAAGCTGGAGAAGTTCAATGGATGCATGATGGATTATCTCTCGGATCAGATAGAGATTATTCAGGGTATGACCGATACTCTGTCATTGGTGGACGCAACGGTGTTCTGGGTAAGATACATTTCACTTCTTTGTCTGTCATTGATGGACCTAACTGTGTTCTGGGTAAGATACATTTCACTTCTTTGTCTGTCATTGGTGGACCTAACAGTGTTCTGGGTAAGACACATTTTACTTCTTTGTCTGTCATTGGTAGACCTTGTAACGGTGTTCTGGGTATTAAAGACACATTTTACTTCTTTGTCTGTCATTGGTAGACCTTACGGTGTTCTGGGTAAGATACATTTTACTTCTTTGTCTGTCATTGGTGGACCTAACTGTGTTCTGGGTAAGATACATTTTACTTCTTTGTCTGTCATTGGTGGACCTAACAGTGTTCTGGGTAAGATACATTTCACTTCTTCAAAAACAAAATCAGGTACTTAGATTTACAAGGGGGGATTAGATTTTACTCTGAAAGATTAAAAATAAGGTACTTGTATTAACTTAAAAGTGAGAATTACATTTTGGTTTGATAGGTAAAAAATCAGGTTTCTTGTGTAAAATTTGAAAACAACACTTCATAAATTTCATGCGTCTGAAGTCTGAAGTGCTTTCTGGATTAATTGTCATCAGGAAAGCTCAAAGCTGAATATCGGTCAAATAAATTAACCTTTGGGAATGATGTTCCATTGTGAAATAAAGCAAATCTTGTACTCATAGATTTAAAAGGGGAATAACATTGAAGTCTATAAAATCGGGTACTTGTACAGTTATGAGAATATTACAGATGACATGTGAATTAGTGTCTTATAGTTATGAGAAAATTACAGATGACATGTGAATTAGTGTCTTATAGTTATGAGAATATTACAGATGACATGTGAATTAGTGTCTTATAGTTATGAGAATATTACAGATGACATGTGAATTAGTGTCTTATAGTTATGAGAATATTACAGATGACATGTGAATTAGTGTCTTATAGTTATGAGAATATTACAGATGACATGTGAATTCGTGTCTTATAGTTATGAGAATATTACAGATGACATGTGAATTCGTGTCTTATAGTTATTAGAATATTACAGATGACATGTGAATTCGTGTCTTATAGTTATGAGAATATTACAGATGACATGTGAATTAGTGTCTTATAGTTATGAGAATATTACAGATGACATGTGAATTAGTGTCTTATAGTTATGAGAATATTACAGATGACATGTGAATTCGTGTCTTATAGTTATGAGAATATTACAGATGACATGTGAATTCGTGTCTTATAGTTATGAGAATATTACAGATGACATGTGAATTAGTGTCTTATAGTTATGAGAATATTACAGATGACATGTGAATTAGTGTCTTATAGTTATGAGAATATTACAGATGACATGTGAATTAGTGTCTTATGGGTTTTCCCCTTTACAGTGCACTACATTACTAGTGAGTGTTAGTTTTTAGGAAGCAGATCTTAGGCACATCATATCTTGTAAAGATTGTGGTCTTGGGTTACTGACCATCTTGTTACATGTATGTTTGGTACAAACAGTATTGTACTTTGTCTACTGCTAATGAAAACTGTAGATTGAAGTGAAAGTTACAAGAATTCTGTATAAACAGTAGTGACTTATCCTGGACATTGAACTCCTGTTTTACTTCAGAGTTTGTTTTTATAAGCATTAAATGTGATACAAAACAAATTATGTCTGTCAGGTACCTGAATTATGTCAGACAGGACAAGTTTGTGGTCTGTTTACATGGTTTTAGGAACTCAAATTATAGATCATCAAAGACATCTGTAAGAATTTATAAGTATGAATAGAAGGAGGTGTGGAGTAATTGACATTCTGACAGAAACCCAACATTGCAAGTTTATATAGCTGCCAACTTCTTAAAACTCCATGGGGGAATTAAGCACAAAAGAACTGTATGCATCATCTTAACATGTCTTTAAGTATTTTTACCTCATATAGACCTTTCCAGACATGTTTTAAGTACTTTTACATCATATAGACCTTTCCAGACATGTTTTAAGTATTTTTACCTCATATAGCTCTTTCCAGACATGTTTTAAGCACTTTTATCTCATATAGACCTTTCCAGACATGTTTTAAGTATTTTTACCTCATATAGCTCTTTCCAGACATGTTTTAAGCACTTTTACCTCATATAGACCTTTCCAGACATGTTTTAAGTATTTTTATCTCATATAGCTCTTTCCAGACATGTTTTAAGCACTTTTATCTCATATAGACCTTTCCAGACATGTTTTAAGTATTTTTATCTCATATAACCATTCCAGACATGTTTTAAGTATTTTCAGTCCCCTACCAATGAAGTAGAAGGGGACATGCACTCTGTCCGTCTGTCTGTCTGTCTGTCCAACCGTCAGTCCAGCAAATCAGTTTTCCACACTTTTTTTCTTCATGCTTGAAGATATTGATTTGATAATTGGTATATAGTTTTATCATGACAAGTTACAGATCAAGTTCGAATTTTGTTCCGGTCTTATAATTTTGTGCAGAGTTATGGTCTTTGGACATAGAAAATTCACTTAAATAATCAGTTTTCAACAATTTTTTTCGTCATGCTTGAATATATTGACTTGATATTTGTTACATGTTTTACACCATGACAAGGTATAGATCAAGTTAGAATTTTGTTCCAATACAAAGAATGTTTAACTGGTGGGGGACTATGTATTGCCATGCAATACTCACAGAATGCTTGTTACCTCATAAAGACCTTTACAGAAACTCTTTTCCTAATCAGAAATGTTACTAGTAAATCATAATTTGAAGCAGGTAATTTCCCTTGTTGGACTGTAGAACTGTTCAGCAGCAATGAAGCTCAGTGCTGAGTCAAAGATTAGCAGATGATTTAAAGATAATATATAGGTTTATATGGATTAAGAAATTATTAATGGCCTTTTACATTCTAACATAGTTGTTATCAAACCTGGATTATTAAGCTGGAATTGTGTTAATTAAAATAGCACATAGTTTTCTATATATTTACTTCTCACCATTGCTCTACACTACAGCAAAGCAGCATTTATACCAGTATACCTTTCAACAAGATAAATAAATTGTATTAAATTTTAATGTTAAAATCAGATTCAGGATTTCCAAAGTGAGTTTCAAGAAAGTCCTATATCATGGTTTGAATGCTTAAAAATGAGCTGAAATATCATTTTATCTTCTTTGAATGTCTCTTTTGAGGTATTCAGTTTCTATAATAAATATTTTCAAAAGTTTGGTCAACACCTCTTATAGGAGAATCCCCAATAAATTGGGAAATTTGGCAGGTCTGCAGGTTGACTAATAGCACAATTAGATGTCTTCATTTAACAGAGGTTGATTCTGAAATAAAACATTTTCCTACTCTTTATTATACGCCCGTTTACAGGACGTATTATGGTATACTGTTGTCCGTCTGTTCGTCCGCCCGTCGTCAAAATGTAGGACATTAACTCAAAAATGCTTCAACTTATTTGCATAAAACTTTGGTGAATTGTTCATATCTATTGATGTGAGCTCCCTTTCATTTTTTATAAAATTTAGATTTTACGTTTCTGAGTTATGGGGTTTTATTCATTAAAAAAGGGGGGATTTTTCCAGTTTTCGGACAATAACTCAAAAATGCTTTCACCAATTTGCAAGAAACTTTGGTCAATTGATCATATCTATTGACATGAGCTCCCTTTTGAATTTTATAATTTTTAGATTTTATTGTCTCGCCTTGACGAAGTCAAAAAGCGAGACATAGGTATGCTGTTTCCGGCGGCGACAGTGGCGGCAGCGTCAACAATGTATTAGTTTGTGATTAGGTCTAGTTCATGGTGAACCACTAGTGGTAGGTCAATGATATTTGTTATGTAGTTGTATAAGCATTGGCATATCTCATTTCCATGGAGATTATATATCCCTGCCCCCTCATTCATGGTCTATTGACTTTGAAACTTTTGCTTAGTTTTCATGTATTAGTTTGTGATTAGGTCAGTTTAAGGGGAACCGTAAAGGTAGGTCAATGATAATTGGTATGCAGTTGTATAAGCATTAGCACATCTCATTTCCATCGAGAATATTTGGCTCCGCTCCATTAGTCATGGTCTATTGACTTCGAAAATTTTGCTTAGTATACATGTATTAGTTTGCGATTAGGTCAGTTCAAGGGGAACCATTAGTGGTAGGCCAATGTTAATTGGTATTCAGTTGTATAAGCATTAGCACATCTCATTTCCATGGAGAATATTTGCCCCCCCCCCCCCCCTCCCCTCAGTCATGGTCTATTGACTTTGAAACTTTTGTTTAGTTTATGGCATGTATTAGTTTTTGATTAGATAAAGATAAACTGCTAATGTTAAGTCAATGATATTTGGTATGCAAATTAATTGGCATTTGCAAGTATCGTTTCCATGGAGATTATATAGCCCCACCCCCTCATCATGGTTCATTGACTTTGATGAAACATTTACATAGTTAACAAGTTAATGTTTGTGTTTAGGTTTGTTTAAAGGGCTCGACTTATAATAAGTCAATGGTATTTGGTATGCAGTTGTATTAGCATTGGCACATCTCATTTCCATGGAGATTTTTTAGCCATGTACCTTCAGTCATGGTTCATTGACTTTGAATATTTGCATAACTTTCATGTTAAAGTATTGCTATTTTAATTTCAATATTTGCATTATCAAAATTACAAAAAGGCGAGACATATCTTTGTGATAACAGTTTATGTTTCCGAGTTATGGAGTTTTATTCATTAAAAAAAAGGGTGATTTTCCAGTTTTCGGACAATAACTCAAAAATGCTTTCAGCAGTAAACTCATGAAACTTTGGAGAATTGTTTATATGTATTGATATAAGCTCCCTTTCAATTTTTATGAATTTTAGATTTTACACCTCCGAGTTATTGGATTTTATTCTTAAAAAAGGGGTGATTTTTTAGTTTTCGGACAATACCTTTAAAGTGCTTTGAGCAGTTTTCATTAAACTTTGGTGACTGGTTTATATCAATTAAGATAACCTCCCTTTAGTTTTTCACAAATTTCTGATATGACATTGAGAAGTTATTGAACTTTATACGTAAAAAATGTGACGGGCGTATCATGTGCTCATGGCGCAGCTGTTTATTTACACATTGTAGATTTTGATCCTTTTCACAATGGTCATTTATATTTTCAGAGGAATTTAGTTTGAAGATCACCGATGTACAATTGAAAGATGATGGTGAATACATATGTTTTGTACTACGTACACAGTCTGATCTTAGCATTAAAACTGACCCACCAGTTACTCTTACAGTGTTAGGTAGGTATAGAGTCTGATCCTAGCATCAAAACTGACCCACCAGTTACTCTTACAGTGTTAGGTAGGTATAGTGTCTGATCCGAGCATCAAAACTGACCCACCAGTTACTCTAATAGAGTAAGGTATATACACAGTCTGATCCTAGCTTGAATACTGACCCTCCAGTTACTCAGTGTTGGGTACCTACACAATCTGATTCTAGCATTAACTGACTCTCCAGTTACTCTTATAGTGTGAGGTATGTTCAGTTTGATTCTATTAAAACTGACCCACCAGTTACTCTAACAGTGTAAGGTATGCACACTGTCTGATCCTTTCATTAAATCTGACCCACCAGTTACTCTAACAGTGTTTGGTATGTACAGTCTTATCCTAGCTTTAAAACTCACCCACCAGTTACTCTAACAATGTTAGGTATGTTCATATCTGATCCTTGCATTAAATCTGACCCACCAGTAACTCTTAACGGTGTTAGGTACGTACACAATCTGATAATAGCATTTAAACTGACCCACCAGTTACTCTTATAGTATTAGGTACTGAGCCGCCAGTTATTATTAACTGTACATAAGTTTAAATAAAGTCTACCTTATTATTAACTGTACATAAGTTTAAACGAAGTCTACCTTATTATTAACTGTACATAAGTTTAAACGAAGTCTACCTTATTATTAACTGTACATAAGTTTAAACAAAGTCTACCTTATTATTAACTGTACATAAGTTTAAATGAAGTCTACCTTATTATTAACTGTACATAAGTTTAAACAAAGTCTACCTTATTATTAACTGTACATAAGGTTCAAATGAAGTCTACCTTATTATTAACTGTACATAAGTTTAAACGAAGTCTACCTTATTATTAACTGTACATAAGTTTAAACAAAGTCTACCTTATTATTAACTGTACATAAGTTTAAACGAAGTCTACCTTATTATTAACTGTACATAAGTTTAAACAAAGTCTAACTTATTATTAACTGTACATAAGTTTAAATGAAGTCTACCTTAAGTTTAAATGAAGTCTACCTTATTATTAATTGTACATAAGTTTAAATGAAGTCTACCTTATTATTAACTGTACATAAGTTTAAATGAAGTCTACCTTATTATTAACTGTACATAAGTTTAAATGAAGTCTACCTTATTATTAACTGTACATAAGTTTAAATGAAGTCTACCTTATTATTAACTGTACATAAGTTTAAATAAAGTCTACCTTATTAACTGTATATTCAGCTTTATACTATACAAATGTGAATTTCAGTATAATCATTTACTCTCTCAGTAAATTCAGAATAAAAGATTGAAAAGTCATGTGATTATTTTACAGTAAGACCAGATCCTCCTGTGATACAAGGTGGAAGTTTACAGAAAGTTACATTAGGAGAGCATAGAAATTTATCTTGTACATCAGCCAATGGCAAGCCAGGAGCAGAAATCACATGGTATAAAGATTCTGTACGAATTGTTGATAAAGTTTTCAGTGTGACTGATAGAAATGGTGTTAAAGACAAAAGGGAAACGACTATCAGTCATGTGACAATTATTCCTACAGAAGAGGATCATGGGAAGAGAATAGAATGTCGAGCAACTAACGCAGTACAAATTCAACCTTTGAAAGCACTTGCTACTTTAGATGTACAATGTATGTATAAGTTACCTCCCTGGAAGCCCAAATTGATAAACAATCTCCTATATGCTACATTTGATATAAAATGTACAGTGAAATATGTCTTATCTGAATTCTACAGAAAGTTTAAACATACAGTAATTATTTTGATTTTATCCACATAAAATCTAAGAAGTTAGGTTCGGACAGGCTTTACTATATTCCAAGCATCAGTAATTTATATTGATACAATAGTCCTGGATTTTCATTGTTTATGATCATTACTTATTTTATTGGTACAATAACAAAATGGACCTTCAATCCCACATGAAATTGAACTTCAGAACTGTACTTTTATTAGATGTGGTCAGAGTCTGATATCCAACACATAGTGTATGTGATAGCATGAGTATCATTCCTGTACTTTTTAAACCCCAAAAATAGTTATTGCCTATTTGATTACACAAGTTTTGTAAAAGTACTATATAGTTTTATTAAATGAAATAGTTGCCAGGTGCCCCTGAATGAAGCATACATTACACTTAAGCCAGAGGAAATGGCAACCATAAGTAAAAGTACATTTATCTAATTTAAAATATGAATAAAAGGAGAATCTGAGATGTTAGGTATTTATCAATGAAACAGAAGTTAAAAAATAAAAAACTGTACAAGACCTGATTTATTTAGAAGGTGAAAATGCCAAAAAAACGCACAAACCAATAAAAATTTACAGGCAGAAAATTGAACCCACATACTGTGTTTTCATTTTACTTTACCCTTATTCCCTGTAGATCTGTTGTGAAAACCATAGAACTTTAGAAACAATTATGTAAACATTATAATCATTTCAAAAATAAAAATTTGTAAATGCAGAGTGCATTTCTCTTGAGATATAAAAACTTATATTGAGAATTTATTAGGTGTCAAGTTTAATGGTTGAAAATTTGTTTTTATTGACATATTTAACGACCTTTATCTGTTTTATGACAGGATAGCTATCATCACCAGCTTCCTGTTATAGAACAAGCACCTGCTTCTCTAATGTCAGTCTCTCATCCATGATTCCAAATGTTATATTGAAAAAAACAATCTATGTTGGCAGCGTGCTCTGATTATCATTTAACTTTCATGATTGTAATATTGGCTAAATATCCACATTGTCATGCAGTTCAGTACATTTATACATTGTGATGTTTGAACCAATAAAGGGCACCATGAGGGTATCCATTTATACATTATGATGGTTGAACCAATAAAGGGCACCATGAGGGTATCCATTTATACATTGTGATGGCTGAACCAATAAAGGGCACCTTGAGGGTATCCATTTATACATTATGATGGTTGAACCAATAAAGGGCACCTTGAGGTTATGATAACTAACAGGAGATTAAATCAATAAGTAAATATGCTCCTACAATAGGTGACAGAAAGAGAGAGAAAGAGAGAAATGTATTTTAATATAATCATGGTAACAACAAAGTCACATCTAAAACCTGAACAAAATTGTGGTTATCTCCCTTTCCACAGTACTTTTACTTTGATACTTTTATTTGAATGTAATATCAGGGAAAAAACAACAGGTTGGTTGTTTGCAGTTGTCATGGTAATTGTTTATTTATTTATTTATTTTGACTCCTGTTTTAAGTCTCATTAAGTCCTGTTTCACTTAACTCGAGTCTGTTAAGTTATCATGAGGTTCGGTCTCAAATATATCTGTTTTAAAAGAATAATTAAGGTAAGGTATAGATAATTGTGAACCAAGAGAAAGACTGACAAATTACATCCCCTTCATCATACAAACCACTATTAATATATACTTTTTTTCTACTTTTAATATATACTTTTTTTCTTTTACAGTTAAGCCTAGTATAACCCTTAAAGTAAATATTACACGAAAGTTGCGAGAACATGACTATGTTAGATTTACATGTGATGCTAAAGCAAATCCTTCAGAAATCACTTGGAAGTAAGTATAATTAAGTCAGAAATCACTTGGAAGTAAGTATAATTAAGTCAGAAATCATTTTTAAGGGTGTGCTCCAAAATATTTTTATTATGATTATAGCCTTGAACAAATGTTTTAACAATTTTAGTTTATAGACTATGGACTTGTTTATTTTTCATCAATATCGAGTATGATGTGTCAATCCATCAATATGTAGTTTTGGAGACATAGTTTTGGAGACATAGTTTTTGAGGCATAGTTTTGGAGACATAGTTTTGGAGGCATAGTTTTGGAGGCATAGTTTTGGAGGCATAGTTTTGCTGTTCCAGTTTTGGATGCATAGTTTGGCTGTTCCAGTTTTGGAGGCATAGTTTTGCTGTTCCAGTTTTGGAGGCATAGTTTTGCTGTTCCAGTTTTGGAGGCATAGTTTTGCTGTTCCAGGTTTGGAGGCATAGTTTTGCTGTGCCAGCTTTCTACTTGTTATTTTCCTGTTGTTTTCTACTATAGTATTATTGTCAGTAAACTGTGATCAAAGTTTATTTTTACCAGAAAGCTGGACATGCACAATAAGTATAGAGTAAGAGCGTTCTCTCTTTGAACTTCATATTGTGATTAGTTTAGTTATAATCTATATTTATATTGTAGATGGTATAAAGATGGAGAATTTATCCCTGGTGAATCAAAGTTTACCTTGGACATTGCCAACCTAAACCGAGATGATCATCGTAGTATACTGATGTGTGAGGGCGAAAATGCTATCGGTATTTCTAGGGCAACCACCACACTGGATATAGAATGTAAGAACAATGTTCTTTGTTGTGAAATTAGAGATATTCAACAGGTGTTTCCATGACAACTTTCTCATTATCTATATAAATCTTGGGGTTAGAATATAAGTGAGCACCCAAGAATTAATATTTTGTAAATGCAGCAACCCGATACTAGAAGAGTTCTGGTGCAAATTTGAGACAGAAAATCAAACTGTTTACAAATCTCAAGATCAATGACAGAATGATATTTTAAAAGAGACAACAGATTAATTTAATGCAAAGTAAAATACAGTGGAAGATCTAAATTGTCTCATTATATATTTTAGAAATCCTTTACAAAAGGTAATTGATGCTGTGATTTAGCAATTACACCAAGAAATGAACACAATACACATGTATCTATTTTTTAAACAGAAAACTCTTATTTTTCAACCTCAACTGAGTTGGTTAATTTGTCATTTCAAACTCTGAATTTTGGGTAATCGTTTCAAAAGCTAAAATAAATATTTTTATTGGCTAACAACATTCATTGTATACTATAATGCAGTATTTATTTTATTTTAGGATAATCCAATTAAAAGACATAGTTGGTTTATATTCTGAGGTTGAGAATTACATAGAGATTTCTTAAGATGTATAAACCTCTAAAACTTATCTTCCAACAACTTTTACTGTTATAGTGAAATCATTTACTTGCCATTGTGACCTTTGTTTCTTCAACAACTGTAACATAATTATAGTTGATGAAAAATCAGCTTCTTCAAGGGTATTTCTTGGTTTAATCATTTACATTTATCAAATTAACTTGAAGTTTGTTTTTTGTTGAGTTTTTTAGTCCCCTACCGACAAAGTCAAAGGGGACTTTAGGTTTATACTTTGTCTGTCCGTCTATCTGTCTGTCTGTCCATCTGTCAGTCCGGCAAATCAGTTTTCCAGACTTTTTTCTTCGTGCTTGAAGATATTGATTTGATATTTGGTTTATTGATTTATCATGACAAATTACAGGTCAAGTTCAATTTTCACGATTTTAGCTTTTCTCTTTGTTCAGTTAAAGCCCTTTCCCTAGAATTAAATGTTTGATGAAATACTTATTAATTAGTAGATTTCTGTTCAAAGGGAAATAACTCATTTTTTAAAAGACTTTTATAAGACAAAATGACATTTTGGATTTTTTTCCTTTTCTTTGGTAAATTGTTTGAAGAATTTAGTGGTAGGTTTGTTTGTCATTCTTGAAGATATTGATTTGATAATTAGTATATAGTTTTATCATGACAAGTTACAGATCAAGTTGGAAGTTTGTTCCAGTCTGATAATTTTGTGCAGAGTTATGGTATTTGGACATGGAAAATTCACTTAAATAATCAGTTTTCAACAGTTTTTTTCGTCATGCTTGAAGATTTTGACTTGATATTTTTATGTAGTTTACACCATGACAAGTTATAGATCAAGTTAGAATTTCATTCCATTACAATGAATTTGTAACCAGTAGGGGGCTATGTATTACCATGCAATACTCACAGAATGCTTGTTAATTTCTGGTTTCCCCTTTTATTAGAAATCCACCAATTGTTTGTCACAAATATTAAAGAAACCATAATTGTTAGTTTAATCAAATTTCTTTTCAATCCTGTAGATGGTCCTAAATTTGTCAACTTAAACAGCCATATACCTGTTGACCTTGGAACATCAGTAACCTTGAACTGTGAAGCAGACGGCAACCCTTTACCCAGTATTATATGGCGACGTGGTAGTTACCCTGATGCCTTGAGTACAGAAAGACAGTACACTGTGCATAACATACAAGACCATGATCTAGGGCTATATAAATGTACAGCCTCCTCCATTAATGCTGGATTTGCTCCTATTGATGCAGAAATTTACCTCATGAGAAAAGGTTTGTCCTAAAGTCATACTGAAATGACGAAGAAATTTACCTTTAAGGTTTGTTAGAAACTGGTATAAGTTTAAGAGAGATATTACCTTAATAGGAACAGTACTGTTTTCATGTTGACAGTGTACTAAGAAGTTAACCTTATTGGGGAAAGTTTGTGTAACAATATACTGTTGTCAAGTAAACTATACAGCAGTTTGACAAAAAAGTCATGTAACAATGTGTTGCAGTGAGTAGGACAGGATACAAAAAGTTACCTCATGATTTAAAGGTTTGTAAACATTAAATTGGATTTCTTAACTCTGACTAAAAGAGGATTATTTCTGCCCCATAGCAATTAAGGGTATTTTACTTTTTCTGTGTGCATAGTATGGATAGGTTACAGTTAGAGTTAAGGAGCTATTTCCAAATATATTGTACATTTTCTGAGTGTTCCATGATGTACTATTACCTAATAGAATTATATTCCTTATGTAAGATGTTTTTGTTTTAACCTTTAGATCAACCAAAGATAACCAGTTCTAAGATACAGTACGCTGCCAAGGGATCAACAGCAGACATAGAATGTAAAGCAAGATCTGTTCCTAATGCAGATGAGGTTATATGGATACGGAACGGAAAAGAGATAGACTTTGCTTCGTCTGAACGATACTCGTTTTCAGAAACTAGGAAACCAGATGGTGTTATAAATACATTACACATACAGGATTCAGATGATGATGACTTTGGAGTTTATAATTGTACAGTTGTTAACAGTATGGGACTGGATTTCTTAGCTATAACTCTCAATCAGAAAGGTAGATACATGTAGAAATTCTTAAGTCATGATCATTTATCATTACAGTGGGGTAAATAATAATGTGGCAGCAACCCAACAACACACTTTTATTTAAGATCAATATGTAACTGTCATATTTATTATTAAGTAGACCCATTGGGCATCCAATGACCTGCAGCCATTTGGTGTAAAAAAAAATAGAACACTCCACATAATATTTAACAGATTACCAAGTGGAATACTGATATGGAATATAAAGAATATGTCCCCCGTTTACTAAACTACTGTTTTGGATAGGGTTGTAAATTATTGTAGTATTTAGTTACTTTTTGCATGTTTCTGCATCTCCAGTTCTGCGTGTAGTTCAAACAAATTTTGGTTAAAACACTTCTTATTTTATAGTTTAGAACTTATGATATGGGTGTAGTGATTTTGTGTCATGTATTAATTTGTTGTTGGAAAGAAATAAGGAAACCTTGTAATGAGGGGGAGGGAAGCCGATGTCAGGTTTGGGAACTAGGAAAGAGGGAAGTAAAAAACAGGGATATGCTGGAAAAGTTTCTTGGACTGATTTTCTTCTGGGAGTAAGGGAGAGAAGTGGGAGTCAGGGATCCCCTGTCCACCCCCTTATTAACACATCTCTTGTTTCCTAAATGGTATGTCAATATATATATATCAATTTTAATGATTTACCAGACTTAATTTTAAACTTGTTTTTGTAGAAATACTTGCTTTGTCATACATAGTAGGAGGAGTCATTGGTGGAGTGGCAGTTATATTTATCATTGCTATAGCTTGTGTGTTGTACCATCGATACAAAGGATCTGATAATGGTTAGTAAGTTAGAGCGTTATATTTATCATTGCTATAGCTTGTGTGTTGTACCATCGATACAAAGGATCTGATAATGGTTAGTAGTTAGAGCGTTATATTTATCATTGCTATAGCTTGTGTGTTGTACCATCGATACAAAGGATCTGATAATGGTTAGTAAGTTAGAGCGTTATATTTATCATTGCTATAGCTTGTGTGTTGTATCATCGATACAAAGGATCTGATAATGGTTAGTAGTTAGAGCGTTATATTTATCATTGCTATAGCTTGTGTGTTGTACCATCGATACAAAGGATCTGATAATGGTTAGTAAGTTAGAGCGTTATATTTATCATTGCTATAGCTTGTGTGTTGTACCATCGATACAAAGGATCTGATAATGGTGAGTAGTTAGAGCGTTATATTTATCATTGCTATAGCTTGTGTGTTGTACCATCGATACAAAGGATCTGATAATGGTTAGTAAGTTAGAGCGTTATATTTATCATTGCTATAGCTTGTGTGTTGTACCATCGATACAAAGGATCTGATAATGGTTAGTAAGTTAGAGCGTTATATTTATCATTGCTATAGCTTGTGTGTTGTACCATCGATACAAAGGATCTGATAATGGTGAGTAGTTAGAGCGTTATATTTATCATTGCTATAGCTTGTGTGTTGTATCATCGATACAAAGGATCTGATAATGGTGAGTAGTTAGAGCGTTATATTTATCATTGCTATAGCTTGTGTGTTGTACCATCGATACAAAGGATCTGATAATGGTTAGTAGTTAGAGCGTTATATTTATCTTTGCTATAGCTTGTGTGTTGTACCATCGATACAAAGGATCTGATAATGGTGAGTAGTTAGAGCGTTATATTTATCATTGCTATAGCTTGTGTGTTGTACCATCGATACAAAGGATCTGATAATGGTGAGTAGTTAGAGCGTTATATTTATCATTGCTATAGCTTGTGTGTTGTACCATCGATACAAAGGATCTGATAATGGTGAGTAGTTAGAGCGTTATATTTATCATTGCTATAGCTTGTGTGTTGTACCATCGATACAAAGGATCTGATAATGGTTAGTAAGTTAGAGCGTTATATTTATCATTGCTATAGCTTGTGTGTTGTACCATCGATACAAAGGATCTGATAATGGTGAGTAGTTAGAGCGTTATATTTATCATTGCTATAGCTTGTGTGTTGTACCATCGATACAAAGGATCTGATAATGGTGAGTAGTTAGAGCGTTATATTTATCATTGCTATAGCTTGTGTGTTGTACCATCGATACAAAGGATCTGATAATGGTGAGTAGTTAGAGCGTTATATTTATCATTGCTATAGCTTGTGTGTTGTACCATCGATACAAAGGATCTGATAATGGTGAGTAGTTAGAGCGTTATATTTATCATTGCTATAGCTTGTGTGTTGTACCATCGATACAAAGGATCTGATAATGGTGAGTAGTTAGAGCGTTATATTTATCATTGCTATAGCTTGTGTGTTGTACCATCGATACAAAGGATCTGATAATGGTGAGTAGTTAGAGCGTTATATTTATCATTGCTATAGCTTGTGTGTTGTACCATCGATACAAAGGATCTGATAATGGTGAGTAGTTAGAGCGTTATATTTATCATTGCTATAGCTTGTGTGTTGTACCATCGATACAAAGGATCTGATAATGGTTAGTAGTTAGAGCGTTATATTTATCATTGCTATAGCTTGTGTGTTGTACCATCGATACAAAGGATCTGATAATGGTTAGTAGTTAGAGCGTTATATTTATCATTGCTATAGCTTGTGTGTTGTACCATCGATACAAAGGATCTGATAATGGTGAGTAGTTAGAGCGTTATATTTATCATTGCTATAGCTTGTGTGTTGTACCATCGATACAAAGGATCTGATAATGGTGAGTAGTTAGAGCGTTATATTTATCATTGCTATAGCTTGTGTGTTGTACCATCGATACAAAGGATCTGATAATGGTTCATAGTTAGAGCTTTATCATTGCTATAGCTTGTGTGTTGTACCATCGATACAAAGGATCTGATAATGGTTAGTAGTTAGAGCGTTATATTTATCATTGCTATAGCTTGTGTGTTGTACCATCGATACAAAGGATCTGATAATGGTGAGTAGTTAGAGCGTTATATTTATCATTGCTATAGCTTGTGAGTTGTATCATCGATACAAAGGATCTGATAATGGTGAGTAGTTAGAGCGTTATATTTATCATTGCTATAGCTTGTGTGTTGTACCATCGATACAAAGGATCTGATAATGGTGAGTAGTTAGAGCGTTATATTTATCATTGCTATAGCTTGTGTGTTGTACCATCGATACAAAGGATCTGATAATGGTGAGTAGTTAGAGCGTTATATTTATCATTGCTATAGCTTGTGTGTTGTACCATCGATACAAAGGATCTGATAATGGTGAGTAGTTAAAGCGTTATATTTATCATTGCTATAGCTTGTGTGTTGTACCATCGATACAAAGGATCTGATAATGGTTAGTAGTTAGAGCGTTATATTTATCATTGCTATAGCTTGTGTGTTGTACCATCGATACAAAGGATCTGATAATGGTTAGTAAGTTAGAGCTTTTAGCCTATAGATAGAACTCAGAAAACAAAGGTTGATTCTGTTGAATGAAGGTTACACTTAATTTAAACAAAAGACAAAGGAGGAAAATTTCTCAAAATATATATAATTGTAGTATTCCAGTCCTTGACAGATGTCATTGATGAAGGCATGATAAGATGTTTACAATGTTTGTTCCAGGTGTCTTTTACTTGTTTAAGCTGCAGAAAAAAAAAATTTAACTAGAAAATTCTTAACCAGTAATTTATACAATCTTTTATGAAAATATTTATTTAAATTTTCTTTCAATCATGTAGTTAAAACCGGGAATTCATTTTACAATAAAATTGAGAGTGGAAATGGGGAATGTGTCAAAGAGACAACAACCCGACCATAGAGCAGACAACAGCCAAAGGCCACCAATGGGACTTCAATGCAGCGAGAAACTCCCGCACCCGGAGGTACAAGTTTGATCAAAATTGTATTGACTTATTTATCACAAACACACACACATTCTTATAGAAATTCTTTTCTTTTTCATTGTAGAATCCTATGCAGAAACAGACAGTAATACAGAAATAAAAAAGAGAGAGAAATCAGACTCTCCAACTGAATTCCAGAAAGGAACACTAATGGATCAGTGGCGCCAAGATCTCAATTTCCATTGTCCCCCTACTGATTTTGATGAAGTTTATGGAAAAATGAATGGCACTGTAAGTATAATATTTAAAGTGGAGTTATTCCCCTTTCCTAACATGTCTGAATATTGAAATGTGCCAACAGTTTAATTAAAAGTCAAGTTTTATGGTTTACACTTTGTTTAGTAGATCTAACAGTTGCATTAGTGTGAATAATTTGGAGGATAAGCAGGCATTTAGATATAAAATTGAAATTATTATTAAATTATTGAAATTTTTTTTATCATTTAGATATACTCTGTGACAGTTTGTCTTTTTTAGTCTTTCTTATTCACTGAGCGACATACATGATCTCTTGTCATTGAGATAGACTCTTACATTTATAGCCTTCAACTCTAATCTTAATGGAGTAGGATTGCCAATGTTCCTGTAAAAGGTCTTTGGATCTCTTTCTTATTTACTGAGCGACATACATAATCTCTTGTCATTGAGATAGACTCTTACATTTATAGCCTTCAACTCTAATCTTAATGGAGTAGGATTGCCAATGTTCCTGTAAAAGGTCTTTGGATCTCGTTCTTATTTACTGAGCAACGTACGTGATCTCTTGTCATTGAGATAGACTCTTAGCCTTCAACTCTAATCTTAATGGAGTAGGATTGCCAATGTTCCTGTAAAAGGTCATTGGATCTCTTTCTTATTCACTGAGCAACGTACATGATCTCTTGTCATTGAGATAGACTCTTAGCCTTCAACTCTAACCTTAATGGAGTAGGATTGCCAATGTTCCTGTAAAAGGTCTTTGGATCTCTTTCTTATTTACTGAGCAACGTACATGATCTCTTGTCATTGAGATAGACTCTTAGCCTTCAACTCTAACCTTAATGGAGTAGGATTGCCAATGTTCCTGTAAAAGGTCTTTGGATCTCTTTCTTATTTACTGAGCAACGTACATGATCTCTTGTCATTGAGATAGACTCTTAGCCTTCAACTCTAACCTTAATGGAGTAGGATTGCCAATGTTCCTGTAAAAGGTCTTTGGATCTCGTTCTTATTCACTGAGCAACATACATGATCTCTTGTCATTGAGATAGACTCTTACATTTATAGCCTTCAACTCTAATCTTAATGGAGTAGGATTGCCAATGTTCCTGTAAAAGGTCTTTGGATCTCTTTCTTATTTACTGAGCAACGTACATGATCTCTTATCATTGAGATAGACTCTTACATTTATAGCCTTCAACTCTAACCTTAATGGAGTAGGATTGCCAATGTTCCTGTAAAAGGTCTTTGGATCTCTTTCTTATTTACTGAGCAACGTACATGATCTCTTGTCATTGAGATAGACTCTTAGCCTTCAACTCTAACCTTAATGGAGTAGGATTGCCAATGTTCCTGTAAAAGGTCTTTGGATCTCGTTCTTATTCACTGAGCAACATACATGATCTCTTGTCATTGAGATAGACTCTTACATTTATAGCCTTCAACTCTAATCTTAATGGAGTAGGATTGCCAATGTTCCTGTAAAAGGTCTTTGGATCTCGTTCTTATTCACTGAGCAACATACATGATCTCTTGTCATTGAGATAGACTCTTACATTTATAGCCTTCAACTCTAATCTTAATGGAATAGGATTGCCAATGTTCCTGTAAAAGGTCGTTGGATCTCTTTCTTATTTACTGAGCAACGTACGTGATCTCTTGTCATTGAGATAGACTCTTAGCCTTCAACTCTAATCTTAATGGAGTAGGATTGCCAATGTTCCTGTAAAAGGTCTTTGGATCTCTTTCTTATTCACTGAGCAACATACATGATCTCTTGTCATTGAGATAGACTCTAAGCCTTCAACTCTAACCTTAATGGAGTAGGATTGCCAATGTTCCTGTAAAAGGTCTTTGGATCTCGTTCTTATTTACTGAGCAACGTACGTGATCTCTTGTCATTGAGATAGACTCTTAGCCTTCAACTCTAATCTTAATGGAATAGGATTGCCAATGTTCCTGTAAAAGGTCTTTGGATCTCGTTCTTATTTACTGAGCAACGTACGTGATCTCTTGTCATTGAGATAGACTCTTAGCCTTCAACTCTAATCTTAATGGAGTAGGATTGCCAATGTTCCTGTAAAAGGTCTTTGGATCTCTTTCTTATTTACTGAGCGACATACATGATCTCTTGTCATTGAGATAGACTCTTAGCCTTCAACTCTAACCTTAATGGAGTAGGATTGCCAATGTTCCTGTAAAAGGTCTTTGGATCTCGTTCTTATTCACTGAGCAACATACATGATCTCTTGTCATTGAGATAGACTCTTAGCCTTCAACTCTAACCTTAATGGAATAGGATTGCCAATGTTCCTGTAAAAGGTCTTTGGATCTCGTTCTTATTCACTGAGCAACATACGTGATCTCTTGTCATTGAGATAGACTCTTAGCCTTCAACTCTAACCTTAATGGAGTAGGATTGCCAATGTTCCTGTAAAAGGTCGTTGGATCTCTTTCTTATTTACTGAGCAACGTACGTGATCTCTTGTCATTGAGATAGACTCTTACATTTATAGCCTTCAACTCTAATCTTAATGGAATAGGATTGCCAATGTTCCTGTAAAAGGTCTTTGGATCTCGTTCTTATTTACTGAGCAACGTACGTGATCTCTTGTCATTGAGATAAACTCTTAGCCTTCAACTCTAATCTTAATGGAATAGGATTGCCAATGTTCCTGTAAAAGGTCTTTGGATCTCGTTCTTATTTACTGAGCAACGTACGTGATCTCTTGTCATTGAGATAGACTCTTAGCCTTCAACTCTAATCTTAATGGAGTAGGATTGCCAATGTTCCTGTAAAAGGTCTTTGGATCTCTTTCTTATTTACTGAGCGACATACATGATCTCTTGTCATTGAGATAGACTCTTAGCCTTCAACTCTAACCTTAATGGAGTAGGATTGCCAATGTTCCTGTAAAAGGTCTTTGGATCTCGTTCTTATTCACTGAGCAACATACATGATCTCTTGTCATTGAGATAGACTCTTACATTTATAGCCTTCAACTCTAATCTTAATGGAATAGGATTGCCAATGTTCCTGTAAAAGGTCATTGGATCTCTTTCTTATTTACTGAGCAACGTACGTGATCTCTTGTCATTGAGATAGACTCTTACATTTATAGCCTTCAACTCTAATCTTAATGGAATAGGATTGCCAATGTTCCTGTAAAAGGTCTTTGGATCTCGTTCTTATTTACTGAGCAACGTACGTGATCTCTTGTCATTGAGATAGACTCTTAGCCTTCAACTCTAATCTTAATGGAGTAGGATTGCCAATGTTCCTGTAAAAGGTCATTGGATCTCTTTCTTATTCACTGAGCAACGTACATGATCTCTTGTCATTGAGATAGACTCTTAGCCTTCAACTCTAACCTTAATGGAGTAGGATTGCCAATGTTCCTGTAAAAGGTCTTTGGATCTCTTTCTTATTTACTGAGCAACGTACATGATCTCTTGTCATTGAGATAGACTCTTAGCCTTCAACTCTAACCTTAATGGAGTAGGATTGCCAATGTTCCTGTAAAAGGTCTTTGGATCTCGTTCTTATTCACTGAGCAACATACGTGATCTCTTGTCATTGAGATAGACTCTTAGCCTTCAACTCTAACCTTAATGGAGTAGGATTGCCAATGTTCCTGTAAAAGGTCTTTGGATCTCTTTCTTATTTACTGAGCAACGTACATGATCTCTTGTCATTGAGATAGACTCTTAGCCTTCAACTCTAACCTTAATGGAGTAGGATTGCCAATGTTCCTGTAAAAGGTCTTTGGATCTCGTTCTTATTCACTGAGCAACGTACGTGATCTCTTGTCATTGAGATAGACTCTTAGCCTTCAACTCTAACCTTAATGGAGTAGGATTGCCAATGTTCCTGTAAAAGGTCTTTGGATCTCGTTCTTATTCACTGAGCAACATACATGATCTCTTGTCATTGAGAAAGACTCTTACATTTATAGCCTTCAACTCTAACCTTAATGGAATAGGATTGCCAATGTTCCTGTAAAAGGTCGTTGGATCTCTTTCTTATTTACTGAGCAACGTACGTGATCTCTTGTCATTGAGATAGACTCTTAGCCTTCAACTCTAATCTTAATGGAGTAGGATTGCCAATGTTCCTGTAAAAGGTCTTTGGATCTCGTTCTTATTCACTGAGCGACATACATGATCTCTTGTCATTGAGATAGACTCTTAGCCTTCAACTCTAACCTTAATGGAATAGGATTGCCAATGTTCCTGTAAAAGGTCGTTGGATCTCTTTCTTATTTACTGAGCAACATACATGATCTCTCATCATTGAGATAGACTCTTAGCCTTCAACTCTAATCTTAATGGAGTAGGATTGCCAATGTTCCTGTAAAAGGTCTTTGGATCTCGTTCTTATTCACTGAGCGACATACATGATCTCTTGTCATTGAGATAGACTCTTAGCCTTCAACTCTAACCTTAATGGAATAGGATTGCCAATGTTCCTGTAAAAGGTCGTTGGATCTCTTTCTTATTTACTGAGCAACATACATGATCTCTTATCATTGAGATAGACTCTTACATTTATAGCCTTCAACTCTAATCTTATTGGAATAGGATTGCCAATGTTCCTGTAAAAGGTCATTGGATCTTTGATGTACTCTGGCTTCCTCCTACAACAAAAACTGTCCACTATGAAATAGCCAAATGTGCTGAAAGTGGTGTTAAATACCAATAATCAATTTTACAGTTAATTATTACAATTCTATTGCATCTTTCAGGAATCGAAAGTTACAAGTGGTTATGGAACGTTACGATCAGAAAATTACATAAATGGTTATGACAACCATAATGGACATTTATTTAGTGATTATATACATAGATCTGATGAAACAATACCTGGGGACAGGTGAGTTATTTATAGATCTGATAAAACAATATTGTGTAGGATTAATTTAATTTTTGTGGGGTTAAAATTTCACACTTTTGACTCTTAAAAAGGATTTGATGGAGATTATTTCTCATTGATTCCAGTTAAAGAGAGTTGGTTAAATGTTCTATTAAGATTAATTTTTGGATGAGGTTTGAAAACTATTTTGATAATATTGTCTTTGTACACAAGACACAAATACAAGGATGTTTTATGCTTGATACTAGGAGTCTACTCCCGTATTTATATAAGTAGTAGAAGTAGAAAATATAAATAAAATAAATCAAATTAAAAACCCAACAAAAATGTCTGTGTTACACTATTGACAAAAATACAAAAAATCTGAAGTGGGCAATGTTTGTAAGCTAATTTCACGTTTAAAATAAATTTGTTCTTTGAGGCAGAGCAAAGACAGGAAAACGAAAACCTTTAAAAGTAGATCATTGTGAACAGGTTTTACCCTAGAAATCACAGATTTTAACTGTTCTGTTTCGAAACAACTTTTATTTGTTTGGTTGGTTTTTTTTTGGAGGAGGGGGCATAATTTTCACTTAGGGCTATTCCAGAAAAAAATGTATGGGGGGGTTGGAAGGCAGTTTTTGTCAGCACCCACAACCCAGACAATTGTAATGGAGAATCATAGTGCATTATAGTGTGAAAAGTTGCTCTGATACCCATCACCCATGTATTATTAATATATAGTGCCTTCCAACCCCCCCATACATTTTTTTCTGGAATAGCCCTTAGTAGTGTCTTGAAGATATAATGGTCTGCTACCTGCTTGATAACCTTGATTGATAATAAACACCAGTCTCATCAGTGTTTGTGTTATAATTTCATATTTTATGTTACAGCTACATAGCACAAACAATTTTAAATTTTCTATATTTGAATTTTCAGTCTCATGGATAATGGGGTCCATCAGTACGGAACCAGTACATTCCGATCACGACCAGATTTTAACAAATCTTCAGATTCAGATCCATATCAACTCCCTCCAGCTGATATTTCTACAACAAAACTAGCTACAAATGTATGAAACACTCTTTCTCATTGGTTTGTGGAAACAAGTTTTCATATTTGTCGCAGAACTTTGAATTTAAAAAAGTTGCAACTAATGATAATAACAATATTGTTTTCCTGTGAGAAAAGCTAATAAACAGAGATGCAATGTGTTGCATTACACTTTTACTATTTAGTGTCAATTGTATAAAGACCAAAGTATATATGTTATGACATGCAGACTCTGATGACCTTGAACTTTAAGTTATTCAAGGAAAAAATTGTCACAGTGAAGAATGTTTTCCTGAATTATTTATGAAAATAAGTTGTCATGGAAATAACCCTGTGTCAGGATAATAATCAGAAAAAATGTTGGATCTATATAAAATCTATTCAGATACTGATACTGAGTCATAATAAATAGTTGGTGCTAGCCAAGATGCCTGTGTGTTGATGGAAGTTACAGGTTCAAAAAGAAGGACATTAGTTGCAATGGTGTGCAACATAAAAATTAGAACAACAGTTGTATATAAGCTTGTTTAAGTTACATATGAAGGTTAATGTAACACGATCTCGTGAATATTGATAATGCAATATGAAATATGTTTGTCATTATGCAACAGCCAATAGAACTCTTGTCACAATCATCAAAACTGTGCCAGAAAAAGACAATTCAATTTATATTTGTCTGTCATTACAAATGTGTAATTGTATTGTTTAGATTTCAAAATCAAAGACTGTGTGTACATGTGTGTGTTGTGTAACATTAGTGCTAAGTGATCTCTACTTAAATGTGGCGCTGGTAGCTGTATCTAATAATTAATGTTATGTTTACATTGTGATCACCTGTTTATAATGGTATATCTGTTTACATTGTGATCACCTGTTTAGTATGGTATATCTGTTTACATTGTGATCACCTGTTTAGTATGGTATATCTGTTTACATTGTGATCACCTGTTTAGTATGGTATATCTGTTTACATTGTGATCACCTGTTTAGTATGGTATATCTGTTTACATTGTGATCACCTGTTTATAATGGTATATCTGTTTACATTGTGATCACCTGTTTAGTATGGTATATCTGTTTACATTGTGATCACCTGTTTAGTATGGTATATCTTTTTACATTGTGATCACCTGTTTAGTATGGTATATCTGTTTACATTGTGATCACCTGTTTAGTATGGTATATCTGTTTACATTGTGATCACCTGTTTATAATGGTATATCTGTTTACATTGTGATCACCTGTTTACAATGGTATATCTGTTTACATTGTGATCACCTGTTTAGTATGGTATATCTGTTTACATTGTGATCACCTGTTTAGTATATATGGTATATCTGTTTACATCATATTTCAATGTATGATTTACATAATTTGTTGAGATATATTTTAGATTTATTAAATTGCACTTAAAAACTTGTAAAATGAAATCCATTTAAACTACACTTTTACATTCTGAAATTCCTATTTTTTGTATGATAGTTTAGTGCATTGATATTACAAATGTTTTTATCTAAAAAAAAAGTTGTTTATAAAACTACACTATTGGTTAATAATTGAGTATTATCTAGTATAAACAAGAGATGCAACATGTTTTAAATGAATCCTGCTTGAAATCAGTTAAAATTTTAAATTTAACTGCAATACATCTATGAGAAAGAATCTCATTTCAGTTTCTAGCTGATATACATAGAAATCTCCCAAACTAATGGTAAAACCAGCTTTATCTCTTGATTAAGGGTAAGAATTAGTGGATATACATTGAAATCTCCCAAACTAATGGTAAAACCAGCTTTATCTCTTGATTAAGGGTAAGAATTAGTGGATATACATTGAAATCTCCCAAACTAATGGTAAAACCAGCTTTATCTCTTGTTTAAGGGTAAGAATTAGTAATTCAGTGTTTTTACATATGTAAATCTGAGTGAACCAATTTATAACTGCATTACACACAGTAGAAATCATCAAAATATATATTACTATTCAGTTGGATAAAAATACTTTTTATTGTTTTTTTTTATTACAATTTTCAAAGGTGTACTTGATTTGGTTATAATTATTATTTAAATCATGTGACAATTTCTTGGCCAGTGATATTGTCAGGATTAAATGAACTTCATTTCCTTTTGCTTATGTATTTATTAGATACATTTATCATTATAGATGTAACATTTCATTCACTTTATGTAAATAAATCATGTGATCACTAAATAGTCTGCCAGCCAGTCAAGCTGTAATCATTCCATCCGACTCCTGGTCAGTATTGACCAACTGACCAATAGTATTGTAGTATTTAGTCATGTGATGAATAAGATTCTGCTTCATGTAAGTGTTTATATTGATGCTATGTTTGTGATAATTCTTGCCACTCATCCTGATGTTTTACAATAAGATCTCGTTATCATCATCTGAATGTTTTCAATATTAGTTATGTATCAACCAGAAGTAGTCACTGCATTACACATTTTTTTTATTAAGATATTTCTCAGTCAGTTCAGAAATTATTGTGAATGTCAGCTCTGTTCAAAAAATTTTATGCAGGTTAATACTAAGATAACCTCTCAATGTAAAAGTATATACGTGTTGTTGGGTAGCTGTCTCATTCCTGTTTACCACATATCTCCTTTTATACAGGTTATATAAAAAGATAAATATGGTTTTGACCTATGAAACAACCTTCAGATAGCAATATATTGCATTCCGAGTACTATTCTTTCTAATGAAAAAAAATCTATATGAAAATTTGAACCTCTCCAATCAAATAGAGTTTTGTAAGACAAATAACATAACTTTTTGAGTTTTAAAAGTCCATCTCATTTCTGATATCATGAGCAATATGAAAGGAGATTAGGGGAGAGCATCGATCAGACAACTACTCAATGACACAAGTTCACAGATATACTGAGTTGACTTTTTCAAGGTTCAGCTTGTTCATTTTAATAAGAAAAATAAAAATGATGGTTTCTGAATTGATATTGTATGAAATCCTGTACAGATGATGCTGATGGAAGTATTCATTTTCTCTATTTCATCACTGAGATATTTTCATCTATCTAGAGTTTTTGTAACTGTTATGATCTATATACTTGTACCAAAGTTTAATCAGAAATAACTGTGGATTCATTATTAGGGCTTTTCAATAAAAATGAATGTGGGAGGGAAGACGGGGAAGTTTTACTTTTGGACATGGGCTGTGGGTCATTTATGACTATGTCCATTTGATGTAAGAAAATGACCTCAAGAAAGTATGTTTTATCATGAGGTGTATTTAAGAAGTTCCTTGACACCCTCCCACATCCATTTTAATGAATTAGTCCTTATTCATAGGGGTACTCATTTTTAAGGATTTCATGGGTAACTAAAGACTGAAAAATTAATAAATTTTCAGTAGACTACAAAACAAGGAATAAAAATCCATGAGTAAATTTTAGCTCATTTCATAAAAATTGGTTCCCATGAATATAAATAAATCAACAATATGCAATATTTAGTTGATTTCCTTACGATGTTATAACTTTTCAAGTTATCTTGAGATTTTTTGTTTGTTTTTTTTTATTTTTGCTGATTGATCTAGTCATTTTACACATTATGTCTTTAGTTATACACACTTGTTGTTTTTTATTTACCTTTATGTGTTCTGAGTGTAAATAACTACACATTTTTTTGGTAAATTGTTTATTATAATGCTTTAACAAAGTTGTTCCCAGGTTATTTTTTTTACTCTCTTTTAACAAAAGAGCATAATTCTTCAATGTTTTCAACCCCTGAGAAGTCTTTATTGGAATTCTGTCCTCTTTTAAATATACTGAACTAAAAGTTTGCTTCTTTAGCTCCTTGGCTTAAATCTATTACTCAAGAGAAGCAATCCTGTTGCACTATTAAGAAACAGTAGAAGAAAATCTAAAAATATATCTGTTTGCTAATTTTGATTATTTGTAAAAGCTTTTTCAGATGTACATTTTTATATATTTATAGAAAATATAACAGATTTTCTGCAGATTATTTTAATATAAAAATGTGTTTTCTTCCAAAAGTTAGTAAAACATTAATTTTAGTCACTACAATTAGAAAGAGAATTGTTTCTTCTCAGTAACTGATATCATTCTAAATGAATACTAGGTATGTGAAAACAACAATGGACACACATCTGATACTGATCACCTTAGTTGTGTATTGTAAATCTTTTTCCGATAGACCTATAGCCCATCACAAATTAAAGTCAGACCTCACCAGTTTAAAAGAAAATTAATCAGGCTATCATTTATGTATTTGTCATTGACCAAGATTCTGCAATATTTAAAACATTTATTTAACACATTCAAAACTTTGTAATTTAAGCAATAAAATGATAAATGATAAAACAGGACATGAAAGGGCCTAGAGGTTAAAATAAGGGATCTGAATCCATGAAGTTAAGTTTGTTCTTAGTAAGTTATTTAACTGTACATCCATACACAATGATATACAGATCTCTAGATCTACTTTGGAAAAAGTATCTTTAATGAAATCCATGCATTTAATTGTTATTATTTATTTTGTTATACATGATTAAAAGGAGATATATATTTTAGAATTCCTTGCATTTGTAAATAAATCATTTCAGAAGTGGTCTAAAACTTTCATTATATTCACAGAACTTTGTGTGACTGCAGATATAAGTAACACAGATTCATAACTTTTCCCCACTTATTTTTGTGTTATGTTGGGGTTTTTCTTCTTTTTTTAAGTGGTCTTTGAAAATGCTGTATCCATTATTGGATATTACCATTTATTAATTATGATTTTCTTTTGTTATTTTTGGATTTTGACCATATAAAGTTTGAGAAAATTCTTGGAGGAACTTAGAAGCCCTAAAAAAATTCAATGATATGGGAATTTGTATTGTATACAAACTGTAATCACTGGGAACAAAGCCTTAAATTCTACCTCGCCATGCTCAGCTGAATTTAAGGTATTTCTTTTCTAAATTCCTTAGTATAAATAAGACAAAACTTTAATATAAATTTGGTTGCTGGCAGAAACTTGTTCTTTTCTCTTGCAAACAATGTTTAATAACATAATAATCTAATATGATTCAAATTGACAGTTGCAAACATCAAAATTGTCCAACACATCATTATATGTAAATGAACTTAAACTCTATATGATCCATATTCATAAATATGACAATAAACGGTAAACTATACGTTGTAGTTACTGTGATCACCTTTGATGAACTGACAGCTCAACATTTTCTTTATATAATATAATGGAACCCCACCCTTTAAACAGCCAAAGGATTTCACATGCATATATAACCCATATATCTAAATCCAAATATAACAATAACCCGTTTTACAACTTCTCTAACCAGTTTGAACATAAATAACTATATTTAACACAGTTGAAATGAACATAAATAACTATATTTAACACAGGGGAAATTCCTAAATTCAAGCGAAAAAAGAAATATATTTTTTCAAGGCAAATGATAATTATATTGACCAGATTCTGATGTGTGACTGTGACAGAAAAGTCTCTATCAAAATAAGGGAAAATCCAATGTGTGACTGTGACATGCAGAAACGTACATCTCTATCAAAATAATATGTGTGACTGTGACATACAGAAACATCTCTATCAAAATAAGGGAAAATCCAATATGGGACTGTGACATACAGAAACATCTCTATCAAAATAAGGGAAAATCCAATGTGGGACTGTGACATACAGAAACATCTCTATCAAAATAAGGGAAAATCCAATGTGGGACTGTGACATACAGAAACATCTCTATCAAAATAAGGGAAAATCCAATATGGGACTGTGACATACAGAAACATCTCTATCAAAATAAGGGAAAATCCAATATGGGACTGTGACATACAGAAACATCTCTATCAAAATAAGGGAAAATCCAATGTGGGACTGTGACATACAGAAACATCTCTATCAAAATAAGGGAAAATCCAATGTGTGACTGTGACATACAGAAACATCTCTATCAAAATAAGGGAAAATCCAATGTGGGACTGTGACATACAGAAACATCTCTATCAAAATAATATGTGTGACTGTGACATACAGAAACATCTCTATCAAAATAAGGGAAAATCCAATGTGGGACTGTGACATACAGAA